GAGAGAGAAAGAGGGAGAGGAAGAGAGAGAGAGAGAAAGAAAGAGAGGGAACAATAGTAATAAATTTACATAGGTTCTCACTGATGGAACTTTCATGGTCAGGTCCCCTGCTCACTGCCACAGAGAGGACAGAAGATGCAAATCCAAGTTGCCTGACTGTCACTTCATGGCTATTTTCATTGCACAACAAGCGTGGAAAGTTAGAAATGTTAATTTTATCATGGAAGTGATTCAAACCTTAAGCTGTGACCCTGGGGTGGGGGTGATTCAGTTCTACCGGGGCTGTAAGCAAAGTTTTCCATACTAAAATGAACTTAGAAAGTAGATAACCGGGAATAATTCAGGGGAGAGAGGTGCCCTGGGAACACTGAGACCATCCAACTGGACATCCTTTAGAGGTACCAAAGGAAGAATTACTGAGTGCAAGTGGCCAGTCAGAGTTTGGAGTCATCTTGGGTTTCCCACTCTGAGTCATGGTAGAAGAAACATCTTGTTCTTCTTCTGGGGCCTTGCATTCTCTTGGGATCGTTGGCTTTTTTTTTCTTTTTTTTCCAAGTTCCATGTTTTTTTTTTTTTTCTTACAAAGGCAATAATGTCTTTCCGTATACTTTACTTAAGTAAACAAGAAAGAAACAATGGATGGCTGTCTCTATAAAACAAAACTTCATTATTATTATTTTATCTAAAGAAAGAACTCAGTGATCGGAGCTCCCTGCTTTGCTCCTTAAGATAATTTCATAAACAGTTTTATTTTGAACTCAGATCAGCTGGGCAAACTGTTTGTTTCCTACTTCCCACCCACATCATGGACATCAAAGACTTCTTAAGCAGATTAAAATGCATTCGGAAGGTTTCATGGGCCGGTTCTGCGCTCAGTCGTCAGTGCACTCCTGCAGAGGCCCCGTGGGAAGATGATGGTATGTTTTTCCTGGCAATATGATCATTGCAAAGGCCAAGCAATTATTCTCTGGGAGCAGACAGGTTTCAGGGGCCACAGAGAGCACGTGTGTCATCTGAACAGGAGAACGGTATTCCAGAGTGCGAGGAAGAGAAACTCGGGGCAATCAAGTGGTGGTTTTAGTCCAGCACTCCCCCCACCATTTCCAACAGTGTCTAACAAGACCCGAAACATCTTCATTTGTATGACAGAGTGTATTTTTATACCACTCACCATCTTTGATTATTTCTATTAAGTGAAATGATATGCAAATGCATATCTCCTACCTGCGTTGTGGCCCCATTCATTTCTGCTGACAGTTCCACAGGACTGCTAAGCATCTGGGGTTTAAAGTCTTAGAAACTCCTCTCCTGGTAGCCAGTCCCACATAAACCCACTGCCAAGCTGGACTGATCTTAACCGTCTTCCTAACTCCTGCTCGTCCACACTCCCCAGTATCAGGGTAGTGTCACAAATTCTTGCCTGCTGTCCCAGCATGTTCTCCTCTTCCCTGCACGACTTTCCACAGAACATTCCAACACTCTAGTTTAGACTACTGTTTATAAGACAGAGCTGATTTTGGTGTCCCATTCAAAACAAACTACAAATGCATCATTTGGTCACTAACGTGACCATGAATCATTTCCAGTCTCACATTGGCTGTTTTCTGCCTGACTCATACAAGCTACTTACCTATTGATCTCTTGCAGGTCATTCAAGATGATTGCAGGTGATTCAGACTTATCAAATTCGTGTTTATGCAGTACAAATTACTCCATCTACCCAGAATTACATTTTCTCCATTATTCCTTATAGCACCTTATGCCTGTCTGGCATGAAGCTACCAGCCTCTGGTCATCTCCCCAGCTCACACACCTAGCCCAGTATCTATGGGTTCTCTCTGGAGCATGCGCTGCTGGTGTGGGAGAATTGTCTGTATTCTGTCAATCATATTTTAATAAAACGCTGATTGGCCAGGCAGGCAGTATAGGCAGGAAAGCCAGACAGGAAGTAGGGGTGGAGCAAAGAGACTGGGAGAATTCTGGGAAGCAGGAAGCTCCCTCCACATTCCTGCACAGACCACCAAAGAGGCAGCATGTAACTTGCCCAGCTGAGAAAGGTACTGAGCCATGTGGCTAACGTAGATAAGGATAATGGGGTAACATAATTTATAAGAGCTAATAAGTAGCCAGAGCTAAGGGCCAATCAGTTTATAACCTAATGTAGACTCTGTGTTATTTTCTTTGGGAATTGCCAGCTGTGGGGTACTGGGTGGGACAGAAACCCCAACAAGCCAGCCCTCATGCTACACGCTGCAGCTTACGATGCACGCTAATGCAGATTGCTTGTCCTGGTGTTCACATACCGTTCCTGCTGAGCGCTTAGCTCTGAGACAAGATCTCATTCTTACCACTGCTGCTGCATCTCCTCAGCCACGGTGCTTACTAAGGTCCTGGCCTCTAAAAGGAGCACAGCAAATATTGAGGAACTTACATGTCCTTGAAGAGAAAGGAAAGGTCTGAGGAATCCCCGAAATGCTCCCACTGCTGTAACTTCTGCTCTACACTCTCTGGGTATCAACCCCTGTGAGTCTTGCTTCAAACACACCCAAACCTGTCTCAGTGCTTAGAGTCAAAGGGGACAACACTTACAATTCAACCACTACATTTATTTTCTGAGAACTAAGGGTGACCTGGTGCGGTAGACATCCCTTTTTAGGGTACTTTCCTAAGAGTAAACACAATGACAGTACTTCACCCTGCAATCCCCCCAAATTGGGACTGAACCCCAATGAAAACTATTCATATAATCTTAAACAAGTACAAACAATGGGCAGTAGATTCCTTGTGGCACAAGGCAGAAGCCCCAAGAGTTACACCTTGGTTCTGCCGCTTTCCCTAGGAGTATAGGTTCACAAAAGTACTGCACACTGCAGAGTCTCTGAGTCTTCCACAATAAAACACAAACACCAGTCTCTGGGTTGTGGTCTGTATGGCACGTGATAGATGCTTCTACAGGACATGCATCTAAGACAACGGTTCCCAAACCACGGGTCACAAATCCCCAAAGACTACCTGAAAACACAGATATTCATATTAGGATTCATAACTGTAGCAAAATTACAGTTAGGTAGTGGCCACAAGAATAACTTTACGACCGGAGGTCCCCACAACATGAGGAACTATGTTAAAAAGTGTCAGCCTTAGGACAGCTGAGAACCACTGACCTAAAGAGATCCATGCTCCCCTTTCTCTCCACGAGTGCATCTTAGGAGGCTCCAGTGCCTGGAAATCAACCAATACATAGTGAAATTGGTTTGCATCTAAAGCAAACTCCTTGCTCCTCATTCCTATTAGATCTTTCTACTTAAAGAAAATGGTGGGGAGTGTGTTTGGGGGGAGTTATAGCAAGACACATTATCCAAAAAAATAAAATAAAATAAAAAGCACAGATCACTTTCCAAAATGTCCCTGATGTCAGAGTAAAACTGCAGACACACCCTTATTAGAAAGAAAGAAAGAAAGAAAGAAAGAAAGAAAGAAAGAAAGGAAAGAAAGAAAGAGGGAGGAAGGGAGGGAGGGAGGGAGGGAGGGAGGAAGGAAAGGAAAGGAAAGGAAAGGAAAGGAAAGGAAAGGAAAGGAAAGAGGAAAGGAAAGAGGAAAAAGAAAAGGTTGGAGAAAAGCTGGGCAGCTTCCCAAATCTCACTGAACTTAACTGGCCTGGGTGATGACAGAGATCTTCATGTGCTGATTGGACAGAGAGGAGCCAGAGGAATTGGCATCTTCTGGGATGCTGGACACCAGCCAGCCAGCTCAACCGCACCAAGCAAAAGCGAAGTGAAAGTGGGAAAGCAATCAAACGCACATGGGGCCGCTCTTCTCCAATGTAAAGCATTCTCCCAGAGGAGAACATGCCAGAGCTTCAGCAGCAGCGGGCCAGAGCTCCAGCCCGGTGTCTACTGACCGGAAAGGCACCAGTGACCTCTTTGTCTCAGTACTCACCATCCTTCTGGCTTCATCCCTACCCCTACTCCTCTCTTCTGGCCAAGGAAGATTGGGATGTCAGTAAGGGGGCATTCTCTCTGTCATGGAGAAGGCCTCAGACTGTTGTGGGTGATGCTTTCGGTGGCCTCAGTTCTTTCTAGATGTGACTGTCCAGTGTGCTATCATTTGGGCATTTGGGCATCCTCAGATGAGGAGCATTGGTGACCCAGCTTACCTGGCGTCAGGGGATGGACCACCCAGGCACCATGGTCATTATCTCTTCCCACTCTCATCACTTGAATACGCTGATGAGAGAGGCAGAGGATCCCACTCTACCTTCCCTTACCTCCCCAAAGGCCTGCCTTCACTCACCCCAACCCCTTCACCCACCTCTCCCCTCCACCCACCCCAATCCCTCCACCTACCCTACCCCTCCACCCAGCCTACTCCTCCACCCACTCCCAACCCCTCCATCCACCCCACCCCTCCACCTACCCCACCCCTCCACCCACCCCCATCCCCAATCCCTCCACCCACCCTACCCCTCCACCCACCCCACTCCTCCATCCACTCCACCTACCCTACTCCTCCACCCACTCCCAACCCCTCCACCTACCCCAAATCCCTCCAACCTACCCCACCCCTTCATCCACTCCAACCCCTCCATCCACCCCAACCCCTCCACCCACCCCAAATCCTCCACCCACCCTGCTCCTCCATCCACTCCCAACCCCTCCACCTACCCCACCCCTCCACTACTAATATAGAAGACCACAAAGGAGTTCTTTTCTGCAGCTTCATGACATTACAAAAGAGTGATCTCAAAAAGAGAATTTTGGTTAGAGAAAAACTTGAAAATGAATGTGGCATAAGATTTAAAATGAGAAAAACAAAGCAGAAGAGGTTCTTAGTGGCCTTTTAAATAATTGGTTTATTGTGGATTCACCCCTGCAATTACAATGGATGATGCTAGCACGAAGGAAAACATAAGAGTAAAATAGAGCAGCATGTAAGGAATTTCCTCTCGCCAAATTGTCTCCGATCCCTTAATGGTCTGTAAGCCTCGCTGAGTACTTTGTGCACGATCCCTAGCCTGGTGATTTGCATCCCGCTGTCGGCCTTGCTTGTTGGTTGCCTCTAGCAGCTGTCTCAGTCGGATTCTGGCTGAGAAAGGTAAGGCTCAATTTCCTTGCTCTTTGAAAGATCTGGGAGAGAACTGTAGAATGTCTGCCGGGGTTCGCCTAGGAAGGACTATTATCATTCGTGCATTGGAAGCCTTCAGAAAAGTTTTCCAAACTTAGGAGTCCTCCCAAGCCCTGCGCTCTGAAAAGAACCGGAGAGATTTCCTCCCGCTTTTGCACGTAGAGGGCTCACAGAAAAAAGGCTGGATGCATTGTGTTGAAATTTTGCATGTGGGGCCAGGTGTCCCTGACGCGATTCCCCAGGGTGCTTAATACCAAAAACATTTGGCACGTGTCACCGTGGATTCTTTTTGAATTTCTGGTGGAGAGGTAAAAGTTAATTAATTAAAGCTGCCTGTGTCCCTGGTTGCCTTGGTGGCTATCTTTTCTGGCACAATTTCTGGTTAATTCCTTAAGCTTTCTATTTCTTTGAATTCAGCAGTGCAAATCAGGAGTTGTCTAAGTTTGGAGACTGGCATCTTCACCCCGAGACAGATGCCCACACGCTGTGCTGGGAGGGTGGTACTGACCACACACACCTGAAGCCATAGGAAGGCTGAAACTTCAATATTAGAAGTAGCAACAAACCTGTGGTCTTGCCCTTTGGGGATCCAGCTCTGTCCACTGTCTTTCCTTACCAGTTCAGCCCAGGGCTCGCCATGGGAAAGGATGCCTGTCTCCCCTCTCTAGGTTCATTTCTTTACTTAGGCTTAGGAAGCAAAGAACAGTCTACAGGCGGGCAGGATGGTGTTCAGAGCTTTCTTGGGGTTTCTGGAGATATGTTTGATTTACAGAAAATGGCCTGTGCTAGAAATTAGGGAGGACTCGCCCCAAAGATGGGAATTCTCAGGTGAAAAGACATTCTCTCTGAGAGCTTCCGCTTTACACAGCCCAGGCCCCAGGCCAACATCTTCTGAAATGCCCTGGTTCCAAATATGCCCAACCTCAGCACCCAGTGATGTCCCTAGTTAGACGTGAGACTTCGTTTCTCTAGGGCTCATTGAAAGCTGTAAGGATGGTAGCAGTCTAGGTTACCTAGGGACCTGCTGGGTCCATCATGCCGGAGCCTTCAACCTCAGCCAGGTCTCAGGGACTCCTCAGTGTGATCGATCCCGAGAAGAAAGGACTTCAGGTCTGTGTGTCATTGTTCACAGACTGGGCTGGAAAGGTGAGAGGGAGAGGAAGTAGGGTGTCTAAGAGGATCCAGGCCAGAGGTAAAGAGGGCTGAGCGTTTAAGAGATGGGAAAACACAATTATTCTAGTATTGACGTGAATGTGTAGACACTACCAGGATTTGGTAAGACGTGGACAGATTAAAGACATGAGCGGATAACGTTTAGAAATATAGGAACAGGCTTATCATAGCCCCCTAGTATTGTCACCGCTCTTTTCCACCCATGCTTTTCAAATATTTTACAATGTCAAGTAGCTGGTCTGTAAGAAGCATAATCATATCGGGCTATTGACGAGGGCAGGACACAGCCTTGAGCTTAGTGTTTAATAGAACCGTGTGTCAGGTATGTGTATGTTTGAATATTGCTGATTAAAATGGGCCAAGGAGCAGCAGGCTTGCCATAGGCGGCAAGATAGTTGTGGACCTGCTTCTTTGGAGTCTACTTTTAACAAGCTCTGTGTGTGAGTTGGTACCCATGCATAACTGAGGTCCAGTGGACCAGGCAATGAAGGTCTGTGACTCGAGCTACTGATGAAACTGAGACAGGGGGATTTAAAGTTCAAGGCAAAGGGTAGACTGGGAAATTAACTCAAAGATAGAAAACTTGCCTTGTATATATGAGGCCCTGGGCTCAGTACCCTGTGTGAGAAATAAAACGTGACCGGGGTCCAGAACAAGAATTTGTTTCTTTGTGAGCTCTGTACCATTTCTTTACTTCTTTAAGCCTCCATAGCTTCGTTTACAAGTGAATGGGAATGAACTAATGTGTCAGCCCTTAATCGTATGCCACACCCACAGTTGGCACTCTGTCAATAGCAGCAGTGATGGTGATGGTAGTAGTGGCCATTTCAGGTTTGTCAAAGTGACTCAACTCCTAGCACAAGTGATATGCAATCCTGCTTCCATCAGAATAGCCAGGGTTCCCCAGCTTAAGCGGAAACCCAGTACCTGTGAGTCCACTCTCTACCTTAAAAATAGCCAGGGTTTCCCAGCTTAACCAGAAACAGTAAGTGAGGCAACATCAGACAAGTGGGCCTTTAACTTCCTATTGGCCGTCTTGTACATCCATAAGTAAGAATCCTGGGAGAGCTAGGAGCTTGGATCTCTGCTGGCCTAGACTCTGACTTCAGTTGCTTGAGAACGCCACAGCTGTTCCTGCCTCCTGAGAACGTCTGTCCCCCCCCCCACTTCTGTCCCTTTGCTAGGTCTGCAATGCTGACTCTGGGATTCTCTTGGATCCTCTTAGGAAAATGTCTGATGGGCAGGCAGAGGAAGATCTGGAGTTTGGCTGGGGAAAAAATGAGTAATTCAGAGCAGCCCCGCTTAGTAAACGCTACGAAGAGAAATAAAAGCCGATGCTGGCTCCTGTCTCTGGGGACTCTGAAGTGATGATCCTGAATTACCATGTCACCGAACACAGCTGGGGCGAGCCAAAACTCAGAATCTGCTGGCAAGGAAAAGAAGGAAGAAAAAAAAAAGTGGCAGGGAGGGGCAAAGCAGAGGAGGAGGGAGTCAAATGAGAGGGGGAGGGACCGACAGGCGTCCCTTAAGAGCAAGGGTGGCGCAGAAGAAGAGCTCCAGAGTTCCAAACCAAATCTACGATTAAGAGTTCTCATGTCTTTTCTGTCCCCCAGAGGCAATCCCTGACCAGTGCCCACTGGGTGACAGGCTCTTTCCCAGAAGCTGAAGGAAGATACTCTGACTGGTCCTTCTCTCCCAGGTCAAGTGGCTTCCGTGGTAATGGACTGTCTTTCCCTGAGGTATGTGTGCTTAATCTGGGGACAGATGTTGGTTTTGGAATTATGATGATTTCAGTGGAGAGGGAGATCACTGGACAATCGTAGTTCATTTGATGATTAAATTATATGCAAAGGACATCAGGTAGAACTCCCTAATTTCGCTCCTTGGTGAGTGATATTTTGACCTCCCAGGAGTGGGAAGAACGAAGAAGGTCTGATCCAGTAGTGTGTGCGTTTTCAATCGCTGCTCGATACACTCAAAGGATTAAAGTAATCAGAAGGGTCTCAAGTGTCTGGCAAATCTGTAGTCCTCGCCACTGTTCAGCCTCTCGGTGGTGCGAGTCGGTGACTCGGCATGTCTGAGCTTCAACAAGACCTTCTTCCTGCTACCTCAGCCAGGCTTTCAACAAGATGCTTTTGGATCTCAGGTGTTGCCTTCAAATTCAAAACTGGGAAGGGGCAAGTTTTATACAGAAGGACATTGATGAAAGCTGAATTGGTTAATTTTTTGTGACTATTTATGCAAGCTACTTATTTATGTGAGCATCTTAGAAAATACAGAATGTCTGAATCCCTTGCTCTTTTTCACAGAAAATTTGTAAATGATAGATAGTTACTCTAATAGCTGATTCACAGTTACTTTTTTTTGATTTATAGTTAATTTTTTCTTAAGCATTGTACAAGCAAAAAAAACCTATATCCCATAAAGTGATCAGAATTTCTTTTTCTTATTTTTCCCCATTTAAATGGATAGGGGACAGTGCCACATTCTAGTTATAAAGTCCTGAAGTGGTTGGAACCCAACCGTTGTTTGTAAACTGAATATCTGTCTGCCGCGCTGTGTGGGAGTGGTGGAGGCATGGCTGAGAGTGGGGGTGGGGTTGGGAAGGTCCCGAGCACACACTTCGCCTGCGCCTTGTGTAAGGAGCCGTCAGTTGATAGAGAAGCATGCCATTTGTGCACTTGCTGTTTATCACGACGACGTTGATTTCATGAGCCGTGAATGGGTGACGGCTTGGAAAGAATGCGTGTCACACCTGGCAAAACTGGCAGAGTCCACGTTGCTGTGAGCAGTGGAACTGTTGAGAGCGTGTTCCCCTCCTGGATGAGCTGTCTTTGGATGAGGATCCAGACTTTTCCGAGCTTAGAGAAAATAAAGGAACTAGGCAAAGAAGGACGCTTCTAAAGGGTATTTGTAGACCACCAAGAAATATGGAATACTGCAGAGGGCTTCCTGCTCTTCCTCTCTCTCCTTTTTTTGTGCATAGTTGCTTCCCTTTTACTCAATGTAAAAGAATGTTCTAAGCGGGGAATGCAAAGAAGCGAGGCTTGCGCTCATGTATGTCCTGGGACAGGAGATGCCTCTGCACCTCTGTGCTTCCGTTTGCATCCGGTGCTATTGACTTAGTTGATGTTCTCTGCCTTCTTTTTCACAGCGTCCACCCTGGCAAGGCTTTCTAAACCTAGCCTGTGAAACCAGTTAGGATACATACACCCCCAGAAAAATGACTGAAGAACCTGTAAAAGAGAACCTGGGATCCCCAAAGTCGCCTGCACCTGTGATAATGGAGAAAAACCCTAAGAGTGAAGTTGTGATCACCACGGTCCCCTTGGTCACTGAGGTTCAGCTGATGGCCGCCACAGGGGGTGCCGAACTCTCCTGCTACCGCTGCATCATCCCCTTTGCTGTGGTGGTCTTCATCGCCGGGATCGTTGTCACCGCCGTGGCGTACAGCTTCAATTCTCACGGTTCCATCATCTCCATCTTCGGCCTGGTCCTTCTATCCTTTGGACTTCTTTTATTAGCCTCTAGCGCCTTGTGCTGGAAGGTGAGACAAAAGAATAAGAAAGTCAAGAGACGGGAGAGTCAGACAGCTCTTGTGGTGAATCAGAGAAGCTTGTTCGCCTAAGACAGAGACCAAATGGGAAATTTCACTCGAAAGCTCAGCTCCAACTGTTGAGTTGGTTCATATGGAACCAGCCCTGGAGGGAATGGCTTCAGTTTTGGAATGGACTACCAAAATCAAAATGGGGCAAAGAGAGGACTAAAAATGAGGGGTCAAGACGGTTCCCTTTGTAGGGAATAATATCTTTAATGACAAACTTAATCCTAAGGGCTATTTCTAAGACAAAAGAACCGGCTTTCTTTTTGCCTTAAGCGTTTGGGGAGTATGGGATATGTGCACATTTGATTCACTCTAGAGAGTACCCAAGGGATGATGGACATATAACAAAAACCCTGGTGAACCAGTTCCTTAAAAGAAATAGCCCACACTCTGGAAAGGGGTGTTATAAAAATGTTCCACTGTAGGCCTACATTGACTTGGCATTCCCATGTATTGAAAAAAATTCTGTTTTATATATATATATATATCTTTTCCAATAAGTTGGCTCTCTGGCCTCTCTTTTAAAAAAAAAGTTCATTTTGAATAAATCATCACTAGTGGTACTTTATCTTGAAGAATAGACTAATATTTTTATATTTTAACAATGGACAATTTTAGATGATTGTAATGATACAGAAGAAACCAGAAAGGTAGAAGATACACGAATGGCAAGGGGGAGGGTAAATTAATACCGAAATAATCCAATATAGCACCTTTAATGTTTTTATACAAAAGTTTAATGTGCATTTCACTCAAAATAATAAATACTTATGGCTGCTGAAACGTCTTACGTGGTTGTTTCTGCTGTCCTTCTTCTTTTAAGGCAATTTTAGTTGAATTATGCATATCCATGTGAGTCTGTACTGGGGTTTGTGCACATGGGTGGAGGTGCCGTGGGAGTCCAGAGGAGGGTATCTGATCTCCAACAGCGTCAGGTACAGGTGGTTGTGAATTGCTTCGTATGGGTGCTGGGGACAGAACTTGGCTCCCCTGCAAGAACCCCCTGTACCATCTCTCTAGCCCTTGTCCTCACTGTCTTTGTTGCTCTTCCACATTTTCCACCTCCCCTCAGCTTGTTTGCAAAGGATCAGCTGTGTATTTCTCAACTGGAGCGGTCATTTCTTCTCCTGCAAGACTGCTGTTTTCATCTTGTGATGCAATACACCCAGGAACACTTAACACGTTCTGGAGGGTTTCTAAAGCTGCCATCGGAAAACCCATGCCTAGGTCAGGGATTTGACAAGGTTCTCTTAAATGTGCGTTATACTTTCTGTTAATTTAATCATGAATTAATGCAGGTTGCATATTTAGGTGGTCATAATACCACACAAATAAGGTTAGTGTTTGAATTTTTTTTCCCTGTGGTTCTGAGCTCTCCCATATCCTTCCCGTCACTCCAGCAAGACTTAGTCCTCATTACTGTAGTTTAAAGCCCGCTCAGTCTGAGTGAGAGGACAATTAAACATGAGGCATTAGAGTTTGTAGAGTCTGATGGGGACCTAGCATGCCACAGTCCTTGGGAGGGACTCTACTGAGGGGCTTCATTAAGTCTTCCAGGAACTCTCTGACACTGGCTGCTCTCCAGCCCTTGCTTGCTTTTGTATCTAGAAACACCTTAAGGAGTCTCACGCCCAATTGCAAGTGAATGAACAGGGCTCATTGCGGGGCCATCACTGCTGTGATGTGATACACGTTGTTGTTGTTATTGTTATTGTTGTTTTTACTTTAAATCAAAGACGGTCAAAGGTTCAACACTGCTTTATGAAGCAGTTTCCCAGGGAAAGTTCAAGCTTCTCCAGGCTGCTCTAGAGACAACTCCTCTTTCACTCCCAATCCAATAACCCTCCCTATGAGTCAGCCCGACTAGGCTCCACCACCCTGCCTTAGGCTCCGGTTTTCCTACTGCAGGGCAATCCAGACTCTTCTCTCTCCTATAATGATAATACCGTTCTTCCTCATCCTTCTCCCCCATTTCAGACTGCCCAAACCCTGCTTCTCATCAGCTACCTGCTCCAAAGCTGCCTCCGCCCGGACCCCTCGCACTATGTGAATGCAGTCGCTCCTTCATCAGCCATTGTTTCTCATCGTTTCTGGTACTTTCCAGTTTCTAAGCATGTGGGTGATATAGATACTCATTTGTCCCTTCCAAACCTTTGTCGTATTGTTAGGAATGAGCTGCTTGCTGTTTGCAGTGTGCTGGCTACTGCACTATCTCGTACAGGGAAGAATTCAACGTCTACGCAAATGAGGTGTTAAATGAACTCAAGAAGGGAAAAATGGGAGGTTTATCCAGAATTACATCCTATTCTTATATCTTAAAAGGAAAATATTTTGATTTTCAACTTCCCCAAGAGTAAGTTACCCTGCATTCCCAGCTCCATGATAAAGGCAGAAATGGTCCACTGCTCTTTAGCCTCCAGCCCTTCGAAATGATTGAAAAGCAAGTGTGTGAATTATTTCTGGCCAGCAGGGGGCCTCATACTGCTACCAGAGTCCCCAAAGAAATCCTATGGGAAGATTTTAACTACATGACTAAATGGAATAATATCTACAGATAGCGAAGTGGTTCCTACCTGGAGACGATTCCCCAAGTGACCCATTTCCATCCTCTTCCGTAAGTATTTTTATAAAATGGAGGTTCTCCTAGCATGGGGAGACCTTGCTTTCTGGATAGCCACCAGGCCTCGTAAAGGGTGTGCATCCCTGTGAAGCTGTGGGGCACTGAAGTAGTGCTAATACGTAGTGAATCACAACTCAAGTAAGGGAAATAAGCAAGCCCTGAATTATATTCCCAACTTCAACATGCCTTGCTTGAAAGTGTCTGTCTTTACAAATAGTTCTCACATACACAGGCAAACAGGTGCTAAGTGTACCCACGTACATTATGCAAGTTGCAAGGGAAGTGTTTCTGTATGCTGGGTCTCACTCTGTAGCCCAGGCTAGCCTCAAATGTATGGCAATCCTTGCAATCCTCCTGTCTTAACCTCAGGAGTGCTGGAATTACAGGATGGGGAGGAATGGAAGAATGAAAAGATACATAAGTGGGAGGGAGAAAGAGAGAGAGATTATTGAGATCATGGTTTTTGAAGCAGGAAGATCTGATTATGCGAATTCTCCCATTAAACTGCCCAGGTGATCTTGAATTTGAGTTTCATTTTCAGAATAAGGGTAGTTATAAAGAAATATTTTAAGTTTCTACCCTATAAAGCTTTATGGGGGTTGCAGAGATAGCTCAGTGGTTAAGTGCTCTTGCAGAGGAGCAAATTTTGTTCACCCGAAACCACAAACTTGCATGTACCTGTGCAAATGTGCTTGCACATGCACGTACACACTAAACTAATGAATCTTAAAAACCAAATACTACAAAGTTTCAAAATTGATATCTCATCCAAGAGGATTGATTTCCCCAGGGCCCATTTTCCAAAGGCCCACATCTCCAAATTCTATCTCGCTGAGGATTTGACTTTCACATATAAATTTAGGGAGTCTACAAAGCTCATGTATAACTCTTGGCTTCATTGATTCTCCATAGCCAAAATAAGTCCCCAAATGTCCCCTTAAGAAAGGGAGGTGTCAATTGCTGTGAAGGGACAACATGACCACAACAATTTTTTATAAAAGAAAACATTTAGTTGGGGCTTGCTTGCAGTTTCAGAGGGTTAGTTCATCATCGTGCTGGGGAGCATGGTGGCAGACATGGTGGAGAAGAAGCTGAGAGTTTCTACATCCAGATCCCCAAGTACCAGGCAGAGAGAGCCTCTGGACTTGAAATGGACTTTTTGAAAACTCAAAGTCCAGCGACACCCTTCATCCAACAAGGTCACATTTCCTAATCCTTCCAAAGAGTGCCACTCCTTGCTGACCAAGCACTAAAATCTCTGAACCTATGGGGACCATTTTCATCCAAACCTCCAGAGAAGGCAATAAAAGTGTTTGTACATCCACTTACTATTGTTACTAAGTTATCATAGATATGTGGAAAGGTGTAGATCCCAGTGCATTTCCACGAGCCAATCCTGTGGAACTGTGCTGTGGTGAGGATATGAAATATTGCCCACAGGCTCACGCAGTCCCTAGCTGGTGGCTGTGTTTCAGGAGGTTGTGAAACTTGTAGAACATAGTACAGAGGTGGCAAATGAAAGTCTCCCCAGAAGTAGGCCATGGAGGTTACAGCCCACCCCTGCTTCTGGCCTGTCCTCTGCTTCCTGCTTCGCCAAGATGGAAGGACCCTGTCTCATAATGCACAGCCATGAACTCTGATCCATCCCCTGCTGTGCTGAACTAAAACCATGAGTCAAAATAAACCCTACTTCCCTTCAGTTGCTTCTCCCATGGATTTGGCCACCATGATAGGAAACGAACACATATGCGCAGATAAAGTAATACTGTTTAAATATTGTCGGCCCTGTAAGTTCCTTTGTGGCCATTTCTGGACACTGTGTCTCCGAGGAGAACCATTATTCTGAACGCTAACTGAGCAGTGTTACCTGTTGGTTGGTTGGTTTTAAGGATATTTTTCATTTTGTGTCTACATGTGCGGCCTGAGTATATGTACATGTATGTGTATGCTTACACATGTATGTACATGTAGGAATCATTGAATCCCCTGGAAATGGAGTTTCAGGGGTTTTCAGCTACGATATGGGTGCTGGGAACTAAACCCAGATCCTCTGCAAGAACAGCCAGTGCTGACCAGCTTCTGATCTTTGGTTCTTGTTTCCTTAGAAAACAAACAAACAAAATATCCTGAGTAAATGGAATAATGAGTGCCTTTTCTATGACTAGTCTTTTTCCAATAACGCATTTATGAAATGTGTCTATTTTGTTATATATAGTAATATAGGAATCATTTCTACCCCTGTATAGAATTTCATCATCCAAAGACACTATCATACATTGGTCCTTTGTGGTGTAGGTAGGCATTCAAGGAGTTTCTAGTTTCTAAGCATTAGGAATAGTGCTTTTGGTAGCTAGCCTCCAATATGGCCCCAGTGGTCCTTGAGTTTTGGTATTTACATGCTTTCGTGGCTCTCCACCTACCCTAGTCCCAGGACTGGTTGGTGTGGCAAATAAAACATGGCTGAAGTAATGCTATGCCACTTCCAAGATAGCGTTCTACAATACATTGAGGTTTTTCCTTGGGTATCTGTGTCTCTCTGGCTTCCTGACTCTCATGTTCTTACTTGCTTTGAGGAAAGCTGTTAAAATATCCAGGCACCAGTAGTGAGGCCATGTACGGAAGAACCGAAGTCTGTATCATTTCTGTTGCTGTAATTAAACATCCTCACAAGAAAAGCAACACAGGGAGGGGAAGAGGGGGGTTAGTTGGCTTATAATCACAGGTCACAATCCGTCATGTTAGATAAACCATGTTAAGAACTCCAGCAGCTACTCACACCACAGTCACGGCCCAGAGCAAATGGAGAGCAGGCACATCCTTGCTTGCTTGCTCTTATCTTGCTTTCTTTTTTATTGTACTCAGGGTCCCTGCCTAGGGGTTAGTTCTGCCCTTAAAGGACCGAGTCTGCCTACATCTATTAACAATCGATACTGTTGCCCCACAGACAAACCTGAACTAGATCATTTCTCACTAAAACTCCCTAGGTGTTCTGTGTTGTATCCGTATCCAGTTGACAGATAAAACCAGACTGCATAGTTCCCAACCAACACCTAGAGTTGAGTGAGCTTGGAGCAAATTTTCCCTTCCCAAATGTCTTCTAATAACTATGTTCTTGTTGACAGCTCAAGCAAAGCCTCATTAGAGACCCCACTAGACAGAACCA